ATCCTCGTGCACCTGAATACTTCATCCCTGCTGTGACCGGCGGCCCTGCTTCCTTCTTGGTGTTCGCTGCCCCCTTACCTACAACCACACTCCTTTTCTTTCTGGAAAGCGGTCCTTTCTCCTCCTTCCCTGGTTACCTGGCAAAAGCCAGCTTTGGCTAAAACACAGTTGTCTGCTACTGTGTGCTTGCACCTGGGCTGCTGCATGGGGCTGGGCGCAACGCTCATCCCAGCCCCCTGCCACCCTGTGTCTGACCACTGTGCTCCCTCAGCAGGCTCCAGCAGTCCCGGTGTTTATCTGCTATATATGTATGTACATGTAATATCTGACTGTATGCATGTGTGTGAATATAATACCCGCATGTGTATATGTATATGTGTAATATCTGAGTGTATGTACATATGTGTACATGTATAATATCTGAATGTACATATACTATCTGAATGTCATTATGTATGATACCTGAGTGTATGTGTGTGTGTGTGTGTGTGTATGATACCTGAGTGTGTATATGTATATATGTAATATCTGAGTGTATGTACATATGTGTACAATATATGAATGTATATATAATATATGAATGTCATTATGATACCTGAGTGTGTATATGTATATATGTAATACCTGAGTGTATGTATATATGTGTACAAATACAATATGTGAATGTATATATATGAATGTCATTATGATACCTGAGTGTACGTATATAGGTGTGTGTGTATATACATAATACCTGAGTGTATGTATATATGTAATATCTGAGCATATGTATATACGTGTACGTACATAAAATCTGAGTGTATATATATTTAATATCTGAATGTCATTATATCCGAGTGTATATATGTGTGTATATGTAGAATACCTAAGTGTATATATGCATATGTGTATATATCAAATTTCTAAAGGTTTTGAATGCTTATCCCTAGCCCCGTTTTTTTTAGTGATTCTAGCTGTTCTTTGGTGAATTAATTTAACGAAGAAGAATCTTATATATACGTGCTAACAGGACCCGTTTATGTATTGATGGACATACAATTGGTGAAAGAAATAAATGAGTAGAGTAACCTCTTTAATGCATATTTTTGCACCAGTTTGGCTTTCTCAGGCTATCCCAAACAACCGAATCCTTTGTTCATAATTCGATGTAGCGTCCGTGTTCACATAAAGGAGAGAATTAATGAAATTGAAATTACCACAGGGGCGTATTCTTACAAAAGGAGAAGCCTCATCCCATACTTTAGTACAGCATATTTGGTTCCAGCAACGAACACTTCAAATGGCAACCACTAACACAGTTAACTTTTTTTAAGCATTCAAAGGGTAACGGATGAACGTAAAAATTCCTACAACGTCTGAACTCCTTCAGAGCAAAGTCGTATCCCATCCATTTTAATTTTTAAGTTTTGTTTTTCTTTTTCGTAATCTCTGCACCTAGGGTGGGGCTCCAATTCATGACCCTGAGATCAAGAGTCGCACAGTCCTCCGACCGAGCCGGCCAGGCACCCCACATTCCATCCATTTTTGTATCACTCCTACACGGGATCTCAGCAGATGGTAGGAGGGCAGGAAAGGTGGATCCCTGAGTAGCTACCATTGGTGTTTCGGCTACACTGCAGTACGTGCGTTCCTGGTACCCTGCAGAACTGTGCACTAACAATAGCAGGGCTTGTGGGGAAATGTCAGGATAGGGACTGGCCACTCACTCTCCATGCAGCTTCGTAGGCAGAGCACTGCTGAGAGCTGGATACCCGGGTGATCGAACCCCGGCTGGAGGCTGCCACAAGTCCTACTCAACACGGACAGGAAAGCCACCGCAGGAGATGCTACAGCTCTTTCATTCCTGCCTGTGTTGTGCCGGGGCAGTGCAGGGGCCAGCAGCTCCCTGGCAGTGGGGCTCTGGAAAGGTGGGGTCAGGGGGGGGGTTGCAACCTGCGAACAGCCCACAAGCCACGTGGGCTCACAGCGCACCCCCCCCGGGTTGAGAGCTCTGCATGCAGCCTCCCTTTATAAATCTTTGTAAAAGGCAGCTAGAAAAATCTCCTTTGCCAGCGCACCAGCTGAGCGGAGAGCTTTTCCTTTCCTGCCGGAGACTGTAATTCTACTTCCTGGCTCTTCTAACCTGGGAAAAGTGCAGAAGACTGTCTCGTATTGTGCGTTGTTGGAAGCGTCTGAATGTATTGCCAAGTAAAGGTGGACAGTAGACTTGCAAACAATGGGATCACGTTTTCTGGAGTCCGTATCTTGATGCCTCGGGACCAAGGAGGTGTAGCTTTCTGCGGGTCAAGAGGTTTGCTCTGTGCAAGGGCCAGGTGATGCTGGGGGCAGGTCGAACTCTCAGCCTTAACTTGGAAGGCTTTGGACTCAGGCGCTCGGACGTGAACATCGCAAGAGAATGCATTTGGGAAAGCTTGTCATGGCAGAGAGCAGCGAGGAAGGAATAGCTGTGGGTTTATCCATCGGGATGTATCTCCTGTCTACTCGGATTTAAACGTTGCCTGCTCTCTGTGCCCCTCTTTGAAGTGACTAGAAAAACGGAATTGATTTTGTGCTTTGCTCCCTGACTGGAGATGCCTAAAAATAAGCCAAGTTCAGATGCTGGTGTTGAGTTCCTGAGCAGACACTGTACTTGAGGAAAGAGAGTTTGGGAAACTCAGGAGTTATCTTGCCTTACTCTTTTTAGACTTTTTCCAGTTTTTTAAAGTTTGTTTATATAAGTAATCTCTACACCCAATATAGGGCTCGAACTCATGACCCTGAGATCAAGAGTCACATGCTCCACCAACTAAGCCAGCCAGGTGCTCCTGATGTTTTTTCTTTCTTTCTTTCTTTCTTTCTTTCTTTCTTTCTTTCTTTCTTTCTTTCTTTCTTTCTTTCTTTCTTTCTTTCTTTCTTTCCTTCCTTCCTTCCTTCCTTCCTTCCTTCCTTCCTTTCTTTCTTTCTTTCTTTCTTGTTTATTTATTTTGAGAGGTGGGGGCAAGGGGCAGGGAGAGGAGAGAGAATCCCAGCAGGCTCCACGCTGCCAGCACAGAGCCCGATGCGGGGCTTGAACTCAAGAACCTTGAGATCATGACCTGAGCCAAAACCAAGAGTCAGACACTTAACCAACTGAGCCACCCAGGTGTGCCTCTTTTTAAATGATAGTTTCATTGAGGTTAAAATTCATCATTTTAAAGTATAGTTGACCCTTGGATCACATGGGTTTGAACTGCCCGGGTCCACTAATATGTAGATTTCTTTTGCTAAATACAGTCCAGGACAGTCAGTCAATGTGTTTTCTCTTCCTTATGATTTTCTTAACAACATTTTCTCTTTTGTACCTCACTTTGTGTAACAATACAGTATACAATACATACAACATACAAAATATGTATTAATTGAATGTTGGACATTTTTTTGTGCTTATTGGACATTGAACGGCTTTTTTGGAGAAATGTCTTTTCAAACTTTTTGCCCATTTTTGATTTGGGTTATTTGTCTTTTTACTGTTAAGTTGTATGAGTTCTTTGTATAATCTAGATACTAGGTCCCTGTCAGACATATGTTTTGTATGTATTTTCTCCCCTTCTTTTTTTTTGTTTTGTTTTTTTTTTTTACTTTATTGATGGTGTTTTTTGACACATGAAATTTTAAAATTTATTGTTTATTTTATTGTTTGCACTTTTGGTGATATATTTAAGAAACTGGTACCTAATCAAAGGTCACAAGGATTTACTCCTCTATGATCTTTTTCTAAGAGCTTTGTAATTTTAGCTCTTATGTTGACGTCTGACCCATTGTGAGTTAATTTTTTATGAAAGTTATAAGGTCTGTGTCGAGATTCATTTTTTGCACGTCAGCACCATTTGTTGAAAAGACTGTCATTTGCCCTTTAAAACGTCATGGAATTCTTGTCAACAGTCAATTACCCATGAATGTATGGGTTTATTTCTGAACCGGCATTTTTAATCCAGTGATCTCTATGTTCTTATGCCAATACCACACTATCTCGATTACTGTAGCTTTTTTTTGACATCGGGAAGGGCAACTCCTCCAACTTTGCTTTTCTTTTTCAAGGTTCTTTTGGCTATTTTGAGTCTCTTGGATTTGTATAGGAATTTTAGGATCAGCCTGTCGATTTTGAAAAAAAAAATGAAAAGAAAATGGGAAACGGATTTGAATAGGGATTACATTTGAATCTGACGATCAGTTTGGGGAGGATTGCTGTCTTTACTGTTTCCTAGCCTATGTGCACTGATGTCTTTCCATTTATTGAGGTATTTGAAGTCTTACAATGATGTTTTGGTAGTTTTCACTGTACAAGCCTTACATATCTTTTGATAAATTTATTTGTAACTATTTTATTCTTTTTGATGCTCTTCTAAAACGTGTCTCTTCTTTAAGGGCGCATTTTTAAAAGCCATTCCACCAGTTTCAGCCTTTTGATTGGAGTGTTTAGACCATCTTACATAATTACCAGTAAGGTAGAATTTATGCCTACCATTTTGCTCTTTATTTCCTATGGGTCTTACATCCTTTGTATTCTTTTATTCCTCCAGTGTGCTTTCTTTTATGCTGAATGGTTTCTTGAATACCGTTTTAATTCAGTTTATTTTTTTACATATTTTAAAATTATTTTCTTAGCGGTTGCCTTAGGGATTACAGTCAACATAGTCTTGTCTTATTTGTAAGCTTTTCAGTGGACCTGAACCTTTGCCTATAGGAATCTGATTAGGAGAAGTCCAATGGCTGTGAACGGAAAAGGAGGGGACAGAAGAGAGAATCGGGGACGATTCGTTATCTGAGAGTTACTTGTGTTGGTGGATTTATCTGTTAACTCCTTGGTGGAATTATTTATACCACAGACCTCTCCAGTGAACCAGGATACTTACCAAATGTTGGATCTAGTAATCCAACAGTAATCCAGTTTCTAGTAATCGTATCAATAGCCTTCTCTCCGGGCTTGGGGATTTGAGAGGCTGGTGCTGGGGAGGCTGGAAGTCAGCGTGGTGTCCTTTCTGCCTCCTCCTTGCAGCCTGCTGTCTGAGCTCCTGTGCTGTCCCCACGTTTCCCAGGTGCCGAGCACCCTGCTGAGTGTGGACCGCTCCGGGTGCCCACGTGTGGAGGGACCCCAGGGCCCGAGACCTTCTCCCACGTTTCCGTGAGGGTGGCCGGTCACGAAGGGAGGGGCCGGCTGAGTGCACGTGAGCGTAGCAGGACACCAGGATTTGGCCAGAAGACGTTCCTTTCCTCCCCCAGGACTTCTCGGAGGTAATTTTGAATTTGGAAAAATGAAAACCTTCATTTATGTCTTCTTAGCGGAACCTCAGCCACCAGAAAGACTATAGCCCTGCCTGGGTGGATTTCTCCATACCTCTTAAGCTGCACCATGGAAACAATTGTCTAGTACAATTGTTAATTTTGAGGATGGTTCTCAACATATTATGTTAAGCTATTATAGTAATTAGTACTTTGTGAAGATTTACACATGGGCCCTCATTTACTGCTTGTAAGAACCCGTGGGGTCCATATTGCTCGTCTCGCTTCATAGACGAGGAAACCGGTTCAGAAGATGTATCGAAGGTCTCACCGATTGATTAACTCATCGAGAACCAAGGGTTGTGCCTGGTGCTGTTCTCACTCAGGACACACAGTGAACTCAACAGACACAAGCCCCTGCTTTCAGGGAGCTCCTAGTTGAGTGGGGGTGCGAGTGGAGGATGGGGGTGGGGACGGGAACAGACAGACCACAGACAGCCCCCAGTGTGAAGAAGGAAATTGTATGTTTCATTACAAGGCGCGAATGTTGTGGAGAGAAGAAAAAGTAGACCAAGTTTTGGAGGGTGGAGGAGGTTGCAGTTTGAAAGGGGGTTGGTCAGGAAGGGCTCATTAGAAAGTTGACATCTGAACGCGGATTTAAGGAGTTGTGCTAACTAACCACTTAGTGTCTGGGACAAGAGCATTGCAATGGGAAGAACAAGTGGGTGCAGAGACCCACTGGCGTGCTGGAGAGGCACCAAGGAGGCAGGGTGGCTGGAGGAAAACCAGCAGTCACAAGTGAGTTTGGGGGGTGGTCGGGAGGTTGAACAGGAAGCTGATCATGTCTAGCATCGCGGACTGTTGGGGAATTCTAGGTTTTATGACGGGCAATCAGTGCAGGGTGTTAAGCAGGGGATGGACAGGATCCGCATTGCATTTTTGTAGGTTCATTCTGGCCTCTGTGTCCATATGGGAGGTAGGGGTGGAAGATGTGGGTAGACCAGGTGACCACTGAGAGGCCAATAGAGAAATCCATTAGAGTCGTTCAGACAAGAGAGAATGGTGGCTTTGCTCTGTGGTAGCAGTGGAAGGAGCGAAAAGTGGTCACATTCTGGATACAGTTTGAAGACAGGGTCCTTAAGATGTCCTGGCGGAATGGGTGTGGGGTGTGAGAGGAAGGGGCAAGTCTGTAAGTGTGTTGAGGGTTTTAGCTGGTCACTAGACGGAGCTGTCACCCATGGAAACAGGGACATCCGCAGGTAGAGGAAGGTGGGTCACGAAAAGAGCAGAAGTTCGGTTCTGAGCGTGTGGAGAGGTTGTAAGACAGATGCTGAGTGGACAGGTCCGTACAGATCCGATGGTGGAGGCCGGTGATCCGGCTCGGGTGTAGTGGGAGTCTTGGACCTGTGGTTGGTTGGTGTTTAGGGGAGTAAGATCGGATGAGATCCCAGCGAGAGGAGAGTTTTGAGGACTGGGCCCTGGGACAGTCCAGCTGTCGGAGGAGCAAGCGGAGAGGAAGAGACGGCAAAGGAGACCAAGGGGGGACAACCAGAGACCGGGGGGAGACCAAGAGCGTGGCATCCTGGAAGCCACATGGAATCATCTCAGAAGCGGGGGGGGTTCTGAGCTGATGGCGCAGGTGAGGGGAGGGCTGAGAAGTCTCTGGGGTCGGCTCCGTGCTGGTCACTCACTGGTGGCTCTGGGAGCAACACGGAGGTCTGGTGGCTGTGGGCCCAAAAGCGCCATTGGAGTGGTTGCGGAGAGAAGGCCCGAGGGGAGGACCGGCAGACGGATGTTGACAGCTGCTCTGGGCCGCTAGGCTGCAGAGGGAGCGGAATAGGGGGTGGTGTCCGGCGGGGTAAATAAGGCCAAGAGAGTCAACTTTTCAGTTGGAAGCGTTGGCTCTTGTGCCGTGGGCGGCGGTTCAGTAGAGACTGAAAAACTGGGAATGTTGGAAGGACCTTGCTAACCTCATTTCTTGAGCAGGTGGGAGGCGCATCTTGTACTACAGCGCTTGCTGGAGGAGGAGTGCAGATAGTTAGGGGTGGGGGAGGGGTCGAGGACAAGTTCGGGGTGGGGGGTGGGGGGAGCGGGGGAGGGGCTGAGGACACACGTGCGGGTGCCCGGGAGGTGGCCCTCGGGGAGGAGGCCCTGCGGTTTTCTTCTGGTTGTTTCTATCGTGTTCGTGAAATGGGAAACCCGGTGGCCAGCGGAGACAGTGCCCGGGGCGGAGGGGGGATTGCGAGTTTGGGGAGACCGGGGGAGGAGTGAAAAGCCACCTAGAAAGAGTGGTCACGTGGTAGCAGGAGGACGCGCGCACCTGACTCGAGACCCTCCCCCTCCCCCATCAGTGTGCTTTGTGTGTTTCTTTAGACAGCTGGCTGGGGCGTCCAAGGCGCCCCGGGGGCCAGGAGCTGAATTCTGGTTTGGCCCAGCCGAGGGGGCAAAGTGAGAGGGGTGGCCTGAGTTGTGACAGTGTGTGCGGGAGGGGGAGGGAGGGGGCCGGGGCCGGACTCTGGGCAGGGGAGGCCTAGAGGAGGGCCAGCACTGTCCCCTTCGGGAGCAGGTGGGAGTGGTTGAGAGACCGCTTGAGAGAGTGGTGGGGTGGGGCTGGGCAGGGCACTGGGGACCATGGGGCCCCTGCAGGTACCTAAAGTCCCTCGTTCTGGCCAGGCTCCTGGTTACCTGCCCTGGCCTCTCACTGTCTGACCAGAGAGCCTGCCTGAGGCATCCTGCTGAACCCCCAACCACAAACCAGTGTTGCCCACACCGTCCCGGGGCGGTCTTGGGAATGTGTTGCCCAGGAGCGCAGGGCTCGGCTGGGCCGGAGCGGGGTCCGGGGCCCTCCTCACCGCGGCAAGGAGGAAATGTGGACGTCGAGATTTGCCATCGTTGGTCTCCTTCACATGCCTTGGAGGCTGTGTGCTTGCTGGCCTTTTCTTCTTTTTAACCTCAACTTTAACATTCTGGGGTTCTTCCATCATGCCCGGCCCAGAGGTCTGGAGAGTGTCAGGTGTAAGGGAGACAGGAGGGCTCCCCCGAGAAAATGCACTGTAAGGCCTGGAGGCGCGGGGCCTTTTTCCCTGCCCACACCCACCTCCCAGGACGTTCCAGCAAATTCCAGGAGCTGTGAACCGGCTTCATAGTCACAAAAGATTTCATGTGGAAGAGGCCAAAATACCAGAAAATGACATTCCATCACGAGCAAAAGATCTTTTAAAATGTTTAGGATTTATAAAGAGAAACAGTCTTCATGGACCATAAACCACCCCCAGTTCACACTTCTGTGACTGCAGACGCTAAATCTGAAAGCTAATTCTGTTTTGGTGTTTGGTTTTTTTTCTTCAAGTGGAGAATGTCATTGGCGAGAAAAGAGGTCTCTGGCTGAGAAAAACTCGGACTCGGCCTTGGCCGAGCGCTGGCTGCAGCTGTGAGGCTCCGCTCAGTCACCTCTGCTCTTGGCTAGTGAAGCTTTAAGGCAAAGGTCGTTTAAAACGCTAACTAGAATAGAAAACATCAATACCCTGCTTTGCTTCGGTTGGGTTTCAGAGTGGCTGAGGTGGTTAGGCGAGCGATATTTTTAGAAAGGGAAACAGTTAAAGATGCTGTTCTGAGACGCTGTGGCTGAAGGCTCTGTTAGAATAAATCATCACAACCACATTTTCCACATTCATCGTAGTGGCAGTTGCTTTGTATTTATTTTTTGTTCCTTTTTTTGTTTGTTTGAGAGCTTTGGGTCACTTTTCGTGTGTGCTCGCTGCCGTGTGGGCCTCTGCAGGGCCCTGGGCGCGTCCTCTGTAAGCACCGTGAACTTGCCCGTGCCGGGTTCTGGTGGCAGTGGGCTCTAGGGGTCGGAAGAGAGAGAACGTGGCCCTGGGACGGCAGGTTTCTCTGGACGGGTCATCGGCAGACATCCTGTGAGCATCCCTTCCGAGCAGGGCCGGGTGCGGGGGCCGGGAGGGGAGGAAGGGGGGAGATTCTGCTTGCGTGTTTTTCTGTGACTAATGTCAACAGTGTCCTGAGCTCAGGACAGAGCAAGGCCCAGGCGAAGAGGAGGGGTTGCCGAGGACAGGAAGGTCCCCTGGCCACTGACACTCCATGAGCTGTCCTGCCACGGGAGAGGACAGGAGCAGAGAGGAGAAGAAGAGGTGCCGGGAGCCACGTGTGCTGGGCCCTGAATGTTTGGAGGTAGAATCTACCCTGTGGTTGATGGAGAACCATAAAAATGAAAGGTAGTGGTAAGATTTATTTATGTATTTATTTTAAAGTTTATTTATTTATTTTTGAGAGTGGGGGAGGGGCAGAGAGAGAGAGAGAGAGAGAGAGAGAATGCCAAGCAGATTAGAGAGAGAGAGAGAGAGAGAGAGAGAGAGAATGCCAAGCAGATTCCATGCTGTCCGTGCAGAGCCCGACCAGGGGCTTGATCTCATGAACTGTGAGATCATGGAGATCATGACCTGAGCTGAAATCAAGAGTCAGACACCTCACTGACCGAGCCACTCAGGTGCCCTGGTAGTGATTGGATTTAAAAAAAAAAAAAAAAAAATGCTTTGGACAGATTCACTGGGGGCTGTTGTGCTTCCAATATGAAGGCAAGATTGAAAGCAGCCAAGAGTCAAAAAGAAACATTTGATCATGTGACCTAACAAAATTAAGGGACTTCCCCCACCCCTCACCCCCGGTTTTAAAAATACAGTACTTTTTTTGGTCATTCCTAAAAGCCTAACAACAGAGCTCACAGACTCTTGCATACACAGTTACCAAAGAAACATCATGCCTTCTGCTGTCCTTAGAGCTGCGTAAATGACTTAACGATCTCAGCTACATTTAACACAGCTTGATTAAATATCAATGAGGAAACCATTAGTATCGGGTCATTATAATTTATTACAAAAGGGATAACATAATTCAGTTGCCTTAATCTCATTTTCATTCTGACTGTACTGATTTTAATAATTGATTTTATGAGTGTGTCCCATAATTTATTTCTAGTGTTGTATAAAGTGTCTGTC